TCCTGTTTCTCTTTAGCCCAGGCAAGACGCTTCTGACGCTGTCTGTGGTTCAAGAGTGGCTTGACACAAGGAATGCGACAGCAGAAACCCATGTCTTTCATACGTCTGTGTGTGGTGGTTCTTGAAGCACTCACTCCAGCTGCAGTCCACTCTTTGTGAATCTCCCCCACATTTTTGAATGGGTTTTGTTTCACAATCCTCTCCAGGGTGCGGTTATCTCTCTTGCTTGTACACTTTTTTCGACCACATCTTTTCCTTCCCTTCGCCTCTCTATTAATGTGCTTGGACACTGAGCTCTGTGAACAGCCAGCCTCTTTAGCGATGACCTTTTGTGTCTTGCCCTCCTTGTGCAAGGTGTCGATGGTCGTCTTTTGGACAACTGTCAAGTCAGCAGTCTTCCCCATGATTGTGTAGCCTATAGAACTAGACTGAAAGACCATTTAAAGGCTTTTGCAGGTGGTTTGAGTTAATTAGCTGATTAGAGTGTGGCACCAGGGGCCATCAATTTTGAACCTTTTCACAATATTCTAATTTTCTGATATGATGAATTTGAGATTTTCATTTGTTGTCATTTGTAATCATCAAAATTAAACAAAATAAACATCTGAAATATATGAGTTTGTATGTAATGTATGAATATAATATACAAGTTTCACTTTTTAAATGGAATTACTGAAATCAATCTACTTTTTCATGATATTCTAATTTTATGACCAGCACCTGTATTTAGAGCAGGATTTATACCAAAAATGTAAAAAAAAAAAAAAAAAAACAAGTATATATATAAAATTTTGTATTTCAGATAAAAATTCTTTCATTTTCAAATTTATTTTAATTGAAACTCCAATATAATATTTTATCTCCATTCACTTTTGTTCTTTTTTATCTTATGTTCCTTAACTGTGATTCCTGAACAGCACTTTGGAGAACCCCGGTTGTTTTAAATGTGCTTTAGAAATAAAGTTTGAGTTGAGTTGAGCTGAAAAAAACATTTTTGTCTGTTAATCTGCTCTATCCAGAACTCCTTCAGTGGGAGGAACATTTGGCTATCCAATAATTAAATGATTAATCGACAGATGAATGGATTTGCAACCAGAACCACACCTTAGAAATCCCTAAAATGCATCATTTCTGGGCCCAGCATTGGCTGCTGAACACATAGCGTGTGTTGATGCCCAGTAGATGTCGTACCCTGCAATGGCCAGTAGGAGGAGCCGCATATGGAGCCGAGGCTCCGACCCTCTGGTCAATAATTACATCATAATGCATGGCCTGTTCATCATCAGAGAAAGCATTAGCAGCCATTATCCCAGCGCACCTGCGACTGGAGGAGCAACCAATCAGAGGAAACAAAGACAAGCAGCATGTCATTAAGGCCTGTGGTTTTTCAAAACATCAAAACTTATTTGATAGTGGAAATGATTAAAAGGTTGTTTGGAATGACATAAAATGTTGTTTTTAAATAAGTCGTATTTATTTAGTCACGCTGGGGAGTTTAATGAAGGACTAATTCCCAATATTTGTTAGATCCTAAAAAGAAAACCCCCAAAGCGTTAAAGACTAGAACATTATTTAACTCTATTTACATTTTAGCCACTATTAACTACGGTGGCTGAGAAGTGCAAAACACATTTTCACTTCAAAAACACATTAACAAATAAAAAACAAAATAACATTTGAAGAAACAAAATTATATTTTATGAAACAAATGTATTTTTGAAAAAAAAAGTTTAAATTTTAAAAACAAATTTACATTTTAGGAAACAAATTCACATTTTAAATAAGTTAGATTTTAGGTGAGAGAAAGTTTCGTTTTAGAGAAAAAAAAATACATTATAGGGAAACAAATTTACATCTAAAAAAAAAATTGACCGTTCGGAAACACTTGTACAAGTGCAAAGACAAAACTGCAGGTGGCAAAACACAGTTACATAGCCAAAAACAAATGAACAAAAGACGGCTACACGGAAAGGGAATGTCCCAGTGGCCGGATGTGACGTCACCATTACCCTGACTTGTAGTGCAAACAGCTCAATCTGTAGTCCTCCTGCTTCACGTGAAAAGTCAGCAGCGATTTTATTATTGTGGAGCAAATTTCAGCCATTTTACACCATTTTGTTCTTCGTGCGGACGGTCTCTGGAACTTTTACGGGACACGGACCAGGTGGCAGGACCACCGGAACTGCTGCAACGCAGCCACTGCCACGAATTGAGCTCGGCCCTGCTGCTTGGTCCTGCCACCTGGTCCGTGTCCCGTAAAGGTTCCAGAGACCACAATAAGGGCAAAACATTGTTCGGTTAGCGTAAACTTAAGAAAAACAGCTTCAGTGCAATTCTTTCCATCTAAAATCGCCGCTGACTTTTCAAGTGAAGCAGGAGGACTACAGATTGAGCTGTTTGTACTACAAGTCAGGGTAATCGTGACGTCACATCCGGCCTCTGGGACATTCCCTTTCCGTGTAGCCGTCTTTTGTTCATTTGTTTTTGGCTATGTAACTGTGTTTTGCCGCTTGCAGTTTTGTCTTTGCACATGTACAAGTGTTTCCGAACAGTCAATTTTTTTTTTTTAGATGTAAATTTGTTTCCCTATAATGTATTTTTTTTTCTCTAAAATGAAACTTTCTCTCACCTAAAATCTAACTTATTTAAAATGTGAATTTGTTTCCTAAAATGTAAATTTGTTTTTAAAAATTGTAACTTTTTTTTTCAAAAATACATTTGTTTCATAAAATGTAATTTTGTTTCTTCAAATGTTATTTTGTTTTTTATTTGTTAATGTGTTTTTGAAGTGAAAATGTGTTTTGCACTTCTCAGCCACCGTAATTAAGAGCCGCTGTAGAGGGTCCAAAGAGCCGCATGTGGCTTTGGAGCCGCATGTTTGCAGACCCCTCATCTTGAAGTACAGCTAAGAGCTGCAGAGCCAGACTGCGGGCTCATTTTCTATCATCTTCAGTGAGATCCGCACTCCCAGATGTTAAAGTCGTGTTCTGTGTGTCCTAATGTTCAGAGACTTTATCGTAAATGAAAGGTCTCACCGTGGCAGCTTTAGTTTGGTCTTCCTGAAGCATCAGGATTTCCATTTAATCTGTTTGGGATGGGACCTTCCAGGACGCAGAGCTCTGACATTTCTCTGCTCAGTTTAACCAAACAGAACGATCCTGTAGGACAGTAACGTCGCAGTCATTTCCTTCCTTTGTGTGCAACTCTAAAACCATGTCAACCGGGCCTCATTTGGGGGCCTTGGATCATTTCCCCGGAGGCTAAAACAATGAGAGCCATTCTGCCATATCCTGGGCTGTCCTAAAGCCTGGCAAACACACACATGCCTGTCATTTCTCATTTGTCTGCTTAATTATAGCATTACCAAATTTCATTTTCACTGCTGCTCCCATGAAATAACATTATGTGCTTCAACACGTCTGCTTCAGTCGAAAACGCTCTTCGTTATCTCCCTTATCTCTGCTTCTTCCTTTTAAATTCACATTTCCTGAGATCGTTGGCAGATATTTCATTTTCTACTATCCATGGTTTTATTTTTGAAATGGAAAATAAATGGAAATGTCAGCTCTTCCTGACAGCATGATGTTAAAATGATGCCTGGTGTTTGTTTCTAGAGCTTTGATGGTTCCTCCCTCCACTTCCAGCATGTTCTTTATGAACGTTTGCTGTACAACTGTGATTCCCATCAGGGGGAACTCGTTTTGCTTTGTGAGGACCCAAATTAAAAATTAAACAAGCATTTACAAAGTTTTTCTTATATGTCTGAGTTCACCTTCGGCTTTGACACACAAAAAATGTTTTTTATTTTATAATCAGTTATTGTGCGTTCCACTTTTGACCAATCATCAATACTTGCCCAAAGAAAGGAGGAACCCTGATTGAAGGACACGGGATGATTTAGCTAAAAATCTAAATTGCGATTATTTTCAGACAATATTGCGATCTTCCTTTGCCCTAAGCACAAGCTTGTGGATGTTTTCCTCCAGAGTTCGCGTTTTTCTGTGACTTTAAATCCTGCTTGTTCAGAATCCAGTGCTGCAGGACTTCACAGTAACATCTGCATTAAAAAAGTTCTTCCTTCTACTATAATGCATAGATCTATGTGCTAGCTGCAGCTCTCTGTTCCCTTCCGTGCAACAGCACCCCCTCTTTAATTGTATTACCGCCACCTTAGTCTGTGCAATTTGAAAATTGCATTTTTTTTTAATTGCACTTTATTGCAGATACAGCTAATTGTCCAGCCATAGTAGGAACTGTCTCTTCTATCGAATATATTAGAAACCTGCTTAGTTTTAGAAAGATAGAGATGAACCTTAAAGACGGTCACTGGTTTTCAAAGGTGCTTCGCGAAAATGGAGCAAAAGTAATGGTGACAACTTTATAATAAGTATAATAAGTACAAAAAGCATGTTTTTTTTAAATTATTTCGATAATATAATAACTTGTGGTAGAATAAAAAGATCCAGCTGAAACTTTTCTGTGTAAAATGTTCCGTTCTCTGAACTCCAGCATTCATCCGGTCCAAAAAGGCTAAAAGTTCTGGTGGACGTTGGTTCTGGTACCAGAGAGATGAAGAGGTCTGCTGGGTTACACACTGACTGCGGCTCACAGAAGTTGTCTTATGACTGGAAAAGTTGCGGGTTTGATTCCAGCTTCTCAGACTTTCATAAATGTTCCGGTTCTAATCCGAACAGCAGAACTCTGTGGTCAGCGAGGCTAGAAAAACGGCATTTCATAAAGATTCAGTCCGTTCAGTTCACCCAGAAGCCGCTGGTGTTGAAACCAGTTGAACTGGTGGAAGGATGTGACTGTACTGGGGTGTCTGAATGTAAATAAAGAAGAGAAAATCCCGTTTTTGATCCACAATGGGGAAATAAAAAAAACAAATATAGCAGAATATAAAACAGAGAAAAATCCTGACTGCATGGAGATCAGTGGATGGGAAGGACAGGTTACTTCATAACCTGTTCTGTGTGTTTGTGTTTGATCTGGTCCTGCAGTGAGGTGTCACCTGGATGCAAGAAGGAGCAACAGAAATAAGACAGAGCTGCTTCCAAATGCTCCAGGTCCAGTTCTGACGAGTCCCCGTCTCTCCGAGTCCCAACAGCCGATGGCCAGCTGAGGTAACAGGGAACCTTTGGCTTCTGCAAACATTTGGGAAAAGCTTTAGTGGAGCCAGCAGAACATTAGCTGCTGTCACTACCCGATCTGTACCGGAAGCACGATCCGTGTTATCATCATCTGCAACAAGATAAACATCTGGGTCGCCCTCGATTTTACTTTAAAAGACCTAAATTACATTTTTCCCTCCTTTAAAATAGTAAATGTACTAAATTATGTGTTTAAGGTTTAATAATGTATTTTCTGAGAAAATAAACGGCTTAAAATCCTTTCTGTTTTCTCCCGATCTGTACAGGAAACGGAAACCTACGCTACTTCAGAGAGCTAACTTTTTAAACATAAATCTAGTCTTTTTGAGTTTTATTTATTCCTTTGATGTTAACCTTATGGTATTACAACGGAGTATTAAGTCCAGGCTAGAGATTTGTATGGCTTTTGTAATCCAAGAGTCGTAACATTATGATAATAAAATTATAATATTATGAGAATAAAGTCCTAATATTTCAAGTATATAAATCATAAGATTAAGAGAATTAATATGCAAATTTATGATAATAAGTAAATTTGCAACTCTATTCTCGTAGATTTATGGGAATCAAGTCGTAATATGACGAGAATAAAGTCTTAAATTTATGAGAATAAAGTCCTACTGTTACTAGAATAAATTTGTAATATTTCAAGAATGAAAATTATAAGATTACGAGAATAAAAAAAGAGTTGTAAATTTACAAGAATAAAGTAAATTTACAACTTTATTTAGTCGTAATATTATAATAACAAAATTTTAATTTACGACAATAAAGTTCTATTTTATTTGATTAAGTTTAGTTTAAATTAAAATCAGTTCAGTTTATTTCTATAGCGCCAATTCACAACACATGTCATCTCAGGTCACTTTACAGTTCAACTAGATCATACAGTCAAATCTATTCAAAGTTTTCTAAGGAAAACCAGCTGATTGCATCGACTCATTGACTCTTCAGCAATCCCTCACACTAAGCATGCTTGTAGCGACAGTGGAGAGGAAAAACTCCCTTTGAACAGGAAGAAACCTCCAGCAGAACCAGGCTCAGTGTGAGCGGCCATCTGCTGAGGCCCACTGGGGTTCAAGGAGACAGAAGCAGACATAGAAAAAGAAGCATAGATACAAAAGGCAACTGTCAACCAGCTCCACAGGCGGCCCCGTCCAGGAAACACACAGCCAGGCAGACGAGCTCCGAGCCAGCTCCCATGTCAGAGGATGAAGAGAGCACATCCAGTTAGTCACAGTCAGAGAAACAGGACTACACTGGAAAACAGGCCAAGCTCCAGCATCTAGAAACAAAGGTGTTGATGGCAGCAGCACAGCTGATATTTCTCTCCAGGATGGAGTCACAGCCAAACAGGAACAGACCAGATGAAGCTACTATGAGAAAAAGCAGAGAGAGCAGAACGTTAGAGATTGAACTAACAGATTCTGCAGAGTGGGAGAATAGAGATAGAATGAAGCAGAATGATGAAAAAGGGGTCCCTATGTCCTCCAGCAGTCTAAGCCTATAGCAGCAGAACTATAGAGATAGCTCAGGATAACCTGAGCCACTCTAACTAGAAGCTTTATCAAAAAGGAAAGTTTTAAGCCTAGCCTTAAAAGTAGACAGGGTGTCTGCCTCACGGACTAAAACTGGTAGTTGGTTCCACAGGACAGGAGCCTGAGAACTAAAAGATCTGCCTCCCATTCTACTTTTAGAAATTCTAGGAACCACTAGTAAACCTGCAGATTGAGAGCGAAGTGCTCTGTTAGGAACATAAGGAACAATCAGATCTCTGATATCAGATGGAGCTTGGCCATTTAAGGCTTTATATGTGAGAAGGAGGATTTTAATGGTTGATTTTATGTCAACTCTTAGAAGAAGCCCTTTCTTCCCTAAAATGAGGAATGTCGAGCATCTTGTGAACTTTGACATTGATTTGACAAATAAGGAAATACGTCTTTTAGTCTTTTAGTGCACCAGCATTAGGGTTGTCACGATACTAAACTTTTCAACTCGATACCGATACTAAGGAAAATATTCGATACTCGATACCATTTTCGATACCACAAGGATAAAAACAAAGACTCCAAAATTCTACAGAAATATTTTCATTAATAAATAAATACAATAAAGGTTGTATGCTGTGCGCAATATTAAGCAAGCTTGATAAAAACTTATAAAATTCAAATTAAGTGTTCCTTCCTTGGCTATGCTTTGCACACATAATGACACTAGCCAAACCGGTTAAGATAAATGGTAAATGGTAAATGGCATGTACTTATATAGCGCCCTTATTCAAGTTAGGAGACTTGACCAAAGCGCTTTACACTACATTCATTCACCCATTCACACACTGATGGTGGCAAGCTACATTGTAGCCACAGCTGCCCTGGGGCACACTGACAGAAGCGAGGCTGCCGTACACTGGCGCCACCGGGCCCTCTGACCACCATCAAACAGAAACACCACCAGAAACAAAAATAATTCTCAGCAGCTGCACCTCTTACAAAAAAAAAAGTCTGAAACTGAAAAGTGCGTAGAATTATTCAATCACATAGTGTTCAGAAAGTGCATTTTCCTCTATTCTGCAGTTTAGATGAATGACTGCTTAGGTGCCACTGGTGGTGGCACTGTATCGATACTTTTAAAAACGAGTATTGTATCCGGATACAACATTTTAGTATAGATACTTTTTTGAGTTTCGATACTTTTGACAACCCTAACCAGCATATTATCAGTAATCAGAACTTTGTGCAAACAGCTAGGAGCATGATCAAAGCCTTCTTTCTGAAATGGATTGTGCTATGATGACTTCATTTCTCATACATTTTCAACTTTATGCTCGCAAATTTATGTTAGTATTCTCATAAGTTTAAGACTTTATTCTTGTAATGGTATAACTGTTCTGACTTAATTCTCGTATAAAAAAAAAAATAAATCTCTAGCCTGGCCCCAATACTGTATTTACATATTGGTATATATTAGGGGTGGAACGGTTCACAAAATCCACGGGTCGGTTCGATTCACGATTTCGTGGTCACGGTTTTTGGTTCGGTATATGTTGATTGTTACACCGAAATCCCATAAAATTTATGAAATTAATGAAAAAATCCCCCCAAAAATAATGGATTGTAATTATTTAAAATGATCCGCGGAAACCCTGGATCATTTCCGCATGTTTTGCTGCTTTGAATTTAATCATCTGGCGCATGCTCTCTACCATCTCCAAGGAACTCAGAGCGGAGCGGACGGGAGCCACAGTGGAGGCTGTAGGCTTTGCTTTGAGCAGCCGGTCTGGAGGCAGCGGGGCGGAGCGCTGACGGAGTATGAGGGATTTCGGGGTTAGCATGACATGTTGATCGTGTTGCTGTTAGCATAAACAAAACGTGTTGCACAATGCTCGCACACTGTGGCACTTTTATCCACAGCTTTCTTTCCGCCGTCATCGTAGGTCACTCTAAAGTCAAAGTGCTCCCATACAGCAGACCTATAAAGTGCTGCTGGCGCGTCTTCCAACTCCTGTTCTTTCCCACTCGCCATACCCACACAATTCTCCACAACAACTGATATTTTTCTGCTACACCCGGCTACGCTGCTTCGCTTCTTCTTCTTGTTTACTACTGGTGGTTGGCTTTGGTCGCAGTACCGCCACCTTCTGTTCTGGAGTGTAAACGCTTCGCCTATGAGAAAATGGAGCAGCGCATGAAACGAACGAAACACACGCGAATCGAACCGAGACAGTCGAACCAAACGGTTTGGATGGTTTTCATAAACCGTCCCATCCCTAGTATATAGTGTGTAATCTAATAAAAAAAAAAAAAAACAAACACAAAAAGTCCATAATCAGGACTAAAGTAGTAGTTTAACAAAGAAAATAAGTTAGCTGCATTTCACCTCAAAATGCAGGAAGCAGCATTTCAGAGAGTCTCCATTTTCAATATTTTCTGGGGGAGGAAGCCCCCATTCCCCCAACGCCGCGCAAAGCCTAGAGATGTGATCCACCAAGGGGGAAACCCTATGAAATATTCTTAACTAAAAGCCTGGTTTGAGCGTGTTTATGCCTCTTTTATCTTCATGTTTATTCATTAACCCTCTAGAATCAGTCGCCCGGGAGCTCATGTAGCACGGCTAAATTTCATACCCCCAGTTTCACTTCAAAATCAGCCAGTTTTTGGTTTTGAAAAAAGATTATAAGCAATAAAGAAGAGTATCTAGTAAGGCGCTTTACTGTGCTTCAAATAGGCAGCACAAAATGTATGAATACAAATAATCAGAAACGCATCAAATCATCCTCACATCCATAATACCCTGAATCTAGTATTGATAATCCAAAGCAGCTGCTGGCTGATTCTCCCCCTTACCACCTTCTCCTCATCTTCAACCCCCCCAATGCCTTTGTTCCCTTGCCTACCTTCTTCATCCATCCTTTGCCTGGTGGGGCTGTTGCTAAGGAGCCCTGGCAACCGCAGAGTTGTCTGGGCAAGAGGGAGAGGTGAAAGGAGACGGCTAGAAGAAGAAGGATGAAGGTAAGGGGGGGTGTTGATGGGGGCTGCGATAAAGATGAATGGTTGGAGGAGAAGCACATAGTGAGAGCCAGATGTGCTCATGGCTGATGGCAAATGAACGTCAGAAGCAGCCAATGATCGGGGGGGCGGCAGCAAAGAAAACAAGGTAAAGAAACAGATATAGATGGAGCATAAAAAAGGTTTAATAAAGAAAGGAGCCTCTGCAAACAACAGGGAGACGGATAGGTGACGGACTCAGAGGGAAAAGTTCAACCGTTTATTAAAACACAATGAGAATAAAGAACTGATGTTTGGGAAACAGATCCAGGACTGATCACAACTGAGTTCTCTGCAGAGAGGGACAGTTCGGTTAGCTGAGATCCAAATACTGATGTTTGTTGAATAATGCAGGTCTGTACGTGTTCAGTGATTTTGGCTGAGCGGCAGAGGGAGGGAACCAGGAGGGTCCAGAGGCGGAAGGTAGGC